TAATTATATATATATATTATCCATGTTACTTTGACATTTTAGTATTTCATTTTAATATTTTGTATCAATTTTCTATTTTCAGATTTCATTTTGATCGTTTATCAGATTTTAATATCTTACTTTAGTTTTGTACTTTAACATTTTATTTTCCTCTTCTATGTTAAAGTTTTATTGTTCAATATTTTATTTTAATCATTTGTATATTTTATTCCCATTTTTTATTAAAAGTCCCGCTTCTAGTCTAGTATAGTCCCGCCTCTTCTGCAAAATCATAACTTTTTTTTTGACATTTTTACACGCATATAACGATTTTAAGGGACTCATACACATGGACAGAAAACATGTCACCCTCAGGCCTCGTTCGGGTGGGTGGTGAAAATAAACGATGCTGCTTGCCAAATGCGTCGGTTGCATCAATGGGACCACGCGGCTGAGACCTTTTACAACCCCTGTCTCAGCAGATAACTGTGTGATAACCGTCCTGGGCACAGTTACATGCTGGGACAGGGATTCCATTTCTCCCCCCCCCCCCAATAGCGCCCTCAGGCGGCCGCTTGCGTTGCCTTACGCTAGCGCAGGGACTGGACACAGGGGTGACCCTAACCTAAGTGTTTGCATGATTATAACAATGCAAAATGTCATAAATGGTATTTACAAAGCCAATGTTTTTGAAGCACTACCTCAAGGTGGTGGGAAGGCGGACTCGTCCTTGAAACCTTCAAAATGCCCTGTTTTTTCCGCCCTCACCCTGCAGCGCCCTCAGGCCTGCAACCATCCGCACAGCAAAGCTAAATACAATGTCAAAGATCTCGACTTCTGTGAAGATCATTTCCAGTTCTCACTCTGCGTTTCTATGATTTCACTGACACTGGGAACGTTTTTTTTTTTTTCTTTCTGTAGTACAACGCATAAGCAGGAGCTCAAATAATGTGCCATCCCTGTCATCAGCACTTACGATCAGCCGCCCCAGCTGAACTAATTCTTCACGTTCCAATTAACAGGCCATTTTCAGGCAGCTTGGGCAGTTTAGAGAATTCAATTGCTGATATTCAAGTTGAATACCACTGGGACAGAGTTGTCGGTCAAACTGGTCATATAAGGACCATGTATGCAGGTTTATGCAGTCCTTGTATGAGTGCCTCTCATCTGTAGGTCTACCTCGATGACAGAGTTGTCAGGTTAAACTGGTTGTATGAGGACCATGCATGCACGTCTACACAGTCTTTGGGGGAAGTGCCTCTAGTCTGGAGGTCTTCCTCGGTTATACCTGTTGGTCGCATTTGCCCATCCTTGGGTTTGCCCAAACCTATTAAAAGGTCACCCTGAGGAAGACTCAATCACCTATAAGGACACCGCTACAAAACCACGTCTGTTCTGAAGCCAGCACATATCCACCAAGACCTGTCACTTGAAACTCCCATTAATAATCTTTTTTTTTGTCCCAATAAATTAAAACATTTCAAAGTTGTCAATTCAGCTTTTTCATTCATTTTATCAGGCAACAAAAAAATGGACAAAGAGAGCGAGGAACGGTGAGGAACAGAGAGGGTGGAGGACCATGGAAATTTTGGAAGCTCACCTTCTAGAGGAGAGACGAGGGGCAGCAGGTAAAAGATGCCGAGAAGTATTCTCATGATGTTAGCTGCGCTCACGCCTAGCAGGTGATGGCTCCCTATGAGAAGCCCGGGAGTTGTAATCGCAAGGATGCGCTTGTCCCCTCATGACCTGATGACAATGCCCAAAGGCTGCATAGATGGAGAAGAATGAGGCGGCGAAGAGTCCCGGTTGGCCACATATTGAGAGCGTTCTTCCATCCTACCGATGTCCCGGTGTCCTCATGGCGGTCTATGCTCCACACTTTACCTTCTCCCTGAGTTGTGTCTGTGTCTCCCTGCTCTTCCACTCGTAGGGGTAGACTGAGTCTGTGATTCTCCCTCTGAGCTGTGTCACCCACCCCACCCCCCCCTCCACAGCTGTCTCACTAATCTGTGTACGCTCAGCGCCCCTCACACTCCCCCACCAGTGCCGGCACTCTTACACGCACCAACTCTCTTTTCTCTGCAGGGGAAGAGTCGGTGCTGATATGGGGACACCTGTTCATTAACTAAAATTAGCATTTAGCGAGTGATTTCAAATGTCAGACGTACGCACGGCGAATCCGACTTCTATACAGCAAATTACATTATTCCTAATCAGAGTCACATAACGCAGAAAGTGCTCTTACCTCATACATTCACTTTTTATTTGATTATATATATAATTCTTATTTATCTATTTGGTTTTTTTTTGGAGAGGTTTCCATTAAATTAAAAGCTAAACTGAAAGCTAAAGCTCTGTGGGGTCGATCCAATACAGATTTTGCAACAATTCTGGCACTGTGGCCATATCTAGAACTCTTGCATTCATTAAAGGTTTGCGCCTGTTCCGTCGTGCAACTAATTCACAAAGTTCTTATTTGCAACAATTTTCTAATAAGACTCTATGGCTGTGACAATTGCAGCCATTTCAGAGGAGATTGTTTTACATTTTTTCAGAGAAAATTAGGACAAATATCATTTTGGAGTAAGTAGGCCCCCAAACCCCACCCTGTGCTGGCTGCTTGGACACAGTCATCGCTCAGCATCATTGGTTGCTAGGAGGCTGTCGGCCAGAAGCATCATTGGCTGCTAGGAAGCTGTTGGCCCACAGGATCATTGGTTGCTAGCAGGCTGTCGGCCAGAAGCATAATTGATTGCTATGAAGCTGTTGGCGCTCAGTGTCATTGGTTGCTAGGAAGCTGTTGGCCCACAGTGTCATTGGTTGCTAGGAAGCTGTTGACCCACAGTGTCATTGGTTGCTAGGAAGCTGTTGACCCACAGTGTCATTGGTTGCTAGGAAGCTGTTGACCCACAGTGTCATTGGTTGCTAGGAAGCTGTTGACCCACAGTGTCAATGGTTGCTAGGAAGCTGTTGACCCACAGTGTCATTTGTTGCTAGGAAGCTGTCGGACCACAATGTCACTAATTGCTAGGATGCTGTCAGCTCACAGCATCACTGGTTTCTAAGACACTATCAACTTTATCCCGTCCTTGGTTGCTATGACACTGTTGGCTGCACAGCATCCTTGATTGGTAGGACTTGTTGGCTGCTCAGCACCATAACGACCAATGATGCTGTGCACTTGAGGATGTCATAGCAAGTAATGATGCTGTGGGCCCACATGCACGCCTTGGCCAGCAAGAATTTGAGCCGCTGACCTGAAAGTTCTGGGAGTTCTGCAAATTTTTAGAGTCTCGTTCACACCAAGCACGTCAGGTCGATCAACGCAGGATCAACACAAGGACACAGCAAGTCCCATTGCGGTCTATGTGCCCAGTTCACATAGAAGCATTGTGTTGGCATGCGCCTGATGTCTCTCGGCTGCCCTAGATCGCGCATGCCAAGGATCTCGGCAGCCGCATCTGTCAGAAAATGTAGAGTGCCGGTGTCGGCACTGAGTGTCTTGTGACTGGGTGCATGCTGGCTGGACTGTCAGGTGAAAACTGGACGGGTGGCAACCCTAATGCAGGACCATGTGACTCACTGCCTTCCTCCCACGATGCCTGAACAGCCAATCAGCAGGCCCCAAAACTGCTACCTGGGGGTAGGTAGAGAATTCTTAGCCTGTTCTCTTCCCTGTCATAGCAGCACACTGTACTGGGAAATGTGTCCACTTCTCTGGCTCAGTAGCACACTGTCCCTGCAAATTTGTGCCCCCTTCCCTGGCTCAGTAAGACACTGTACTTGGAAAAATGTCTCCTTCCCTGGCTCAGTAGCACGCTGTCCCTGCAAATCTGTGTCCCCTCCCCTGGCCTAGTAGCACACTGTCCCTGCTAATCTGTGCCCTCTACCCTGTCCCTGCTAATCTGTGCCCTCTACCTCTACCCTGTGCCCTCTACCCTGACTCGCACACTGCGAGCACACTGTCCATGCAAATCCGTGTCCCCCTCCCTGGCTTAGCAATACAGTGTCCCTGGAACACTGTACTTGGAAATGTGTCCCCTTCCGTGGCTCAGTAGCACACTGTCCCTGCAAATCATTGTCCCCTTCCATGGCTCAGAAACACAGTGTCTATGCAAATCTGTGTCCCCTTCCCTGGCTCAGTAGGACACTGTACTTGGAAATGTGTCCCCTTCCCTGGCTCAGTAGCACGCTGTCTATGCAAATCTGTGTCCCCTTCCCTGGCTCAGTAGGACACTGTACTTGGAAAAATGTCTCCTTCCCTGGCTCAGTAGCACACTGTAACAGCAAATCTGTGTCCCCTTCCCTGGCCTAGTAGCACACTGTCCCTGCTAATCTGTGTCCCCTTCCCTGGCTCAGTAAGACACTGTACTTGGAAAAATGTCTCCTTCCCTGGCTCAGTAGCACGCTGTCCCTGCAAATCTGTGTCCCTCTCCTTGGCTCAGTAGCACACTGTCCCAGCAAATCAGTGTCCCCTTCCCTGGCTCAGAAACACAGTGTCTATGCAAATCTGTGTCCCCTTCCCTGGCTCAGTAGGACACTGTACTTGGAAATGTGTCCCCTTCCCTGGCTCAGTAGCACGCTGTCTATGCAAATCTGTGTCCCCTTCCCTGACTGAGTAGCACACTGTCCATGCAAATCTGTGTCCCCTCCCCTGGCCTAGTAGCACACTGTCCCTGCTAATCTGTGTCCCCTTCCCTGGCTCAGTAGGACACTGTACTTGGAAATGTGTCCCCTTCCCTGGCTCAGTAGCACGCTGTCCCTGCAAATCTGTGTCCCTCTCCTTGGCTCAGTAGCACACTGTCCCAGCAAATCTGTGTCCCCTTCCCTGACTGAGTAGCAAACTGTCCATGCAAATCCGTGTCCCCCTCCCTGGCTTAGCAACACAGTGTCCCTGGAACTTTGTTTTACATTCCATTACAAACAGCTTTTCTGGTTTTTATGTATACCTGCTGCACATGTATTGTTTATTAGGAATGCTGTACTATCACTGGTTTAAAACTGTTGTTTATAAAAGGTATACAGTATATACACATATTGTATGTTGTCTACATGCATTACCTTCTGTGGCCACCAGGTGGCAGGCGTGTACCTTCTATTCATGAAGCTGCTGGAATGTGATGATGAAAATATACTTTTGCACCATTCAAAAGGCAACAATGTAACATCTTCCACCTGACAAATCCCACCAGGGCAGGGGGATCAGTTCTGTGGACAGAAAATCAATGCAAGAGGAGCAGAGACACAAGGGACAGACTGGAAGGCCTCATTCACATCTGCATGCAAATATATGCGTTTATAGGACATTTCTAAACCCCGTTCACATCTATGCAATGCAGGAAGATGACACGTTTGAAATAAACGTACAATTTAACGCAGTAGCAATCTCTCTATGAGGTATAAAGTCTGTTTCTTCTTCCAGAATCAGAACCGTGACATGTTCCTGGTCACCTGGGATGGACGCTGTGATCTCTAAACAGATAAGGAGGACGGCCTGGTGGTGTTATCCTCACCGACATATCCTGTCTGAGGCCCCATTCGCACTATTGGGTACGTGCGAACGCATGTCGTGTTTATGTGCATTATGCCATGTTTGCCACAAGTCAGCGCAGGGCGGCCCTACATGAGACAAACGCAGCCAAGACGCTCATGCAGCAGTCTGGGTTGTGGGCTTTGTGCGGTTTGTGGCCCAGCGCACTTTTGCCAGCCGTGTTTGGGATGCTGTTAATTAATGGTTCCGCAAGCATGTCATGCGCTTTCCTGTGTTGTGTCTGTTGGTTATGTGTTTAGATGAAGCGCTGAGATCTTCAGGAATACTGAATTAAAGGAGAACTATGAGGTGAGTGATTT